GTTGAAATATACTGTAAATAATGAAAAAAAATGATATAATATTTTATCAAAGTACTTAGCATCGACAGCAGAGTATCAATACTTACTCAGTACCTACTCGATGCTTAATACTTAATACTAAATGTATAGGCACAAAGTAATATTTAATCCTCTTACCTTGATTTACTTCTCAAGCTTGTGTTTTTTGCTTCAGCATTTTATCTTTTCACATAAGTCGTCTATCGTCCAAATAACATTGGAAGTTCCTCTTAACATTGGCACAACCTTTGCTAAATCTTTTGACAAAGACTCTTAAGAAGAGCTTAAAAATAATAATGATAAAACAATAAGAACAACTTCTACCATACTTGTCTGAGTAAAATGAAATTTTGGGTTCTATATCAGATCCAGGAGCAGTTTAGAAAGAAGCATGGGCTCTGGAAGGATTAATCCTAAAACTAATATTGATAAAATATAAAACTGGCCAAAGCCGATTCTTTAGTTAATTTAACAATAGGCTTACCTTAGTATTTCTCTTATTACAGTTGATGCTGTCAAAAATTGTGGAATCTTTAACAAAGCTACTACACCTACTAAAATGGATCACCAAATAAAATCTTATAACGACCATCTAGTCGAGTCTGCGCAATGTTTACAAATCTGTAGACAAAACAAGAAATTGACTAATGGCACAAATTGGATACAATATTAATGAGTATGATTTATTCATATCATAAAAATTATTCACAAATTCTAGTCTAAACAAGTAATAAAAATTGACTAATATATAAAGTGGAACATCCAGGACCAGTGATAATAGTGCATTAGTGCTGCTAAAATTTGTGTAAATATGTTGAAAATTATTTTCCTGGTCATTTGTTTGCAGCTGGCGATGGTTGCCGGCGGTCATCGTAAATATATTAACAAAGATAATAATTTTGTGGATGTTTAGATTTTGATCACTTAATTTTTATTTGCAGGTGAAGACAATGTGCAAGGAGTCATCATAAAGTTTCATCCAAAAGCCGAACAAAATGGTATAATTTATAAAAGAAAATATTGAGTTTACTATTTTTTATTAGTTTGAGTTTAACAAATTACATTTCATTTATTTTTCAAATTAAAAAATATGACTTAAAAGGTCTTTGTTTGCTTTCAGATCGCGATGGACGTGCTTTTATTGGCTTCGGGAAATTCGATAAACCTTGGATGCATAGACGTCTCACACGTGACGATCCAGGTTTCTTTTATTTATTTCAAAAACTGGTTTCTTGTTTTAACTACTTTTTTAAACTAAAATAACAAATCTATTCCCATTATGTATTTCTCAGCACTTTAAATTTTTCCATAAATTTACTATTATTTAATACACCACTAGTTAACTTCCCGTAAGGTAGTTATAGTAATTGACCGAAAATCAAAAATGAAAATTTTTGTATTTCTCGACGTTTTGAAGGTTTCTGAACATTTTGGCATACCTCAGAAAAAATGGATGTGCGTGTGTGTGTGTGTATGTGTGTGTGTATGTGCGTGTGTATGTGCGTGTGTATGTGCGTGTGTGTCCGCATTGTTTCGTCCACGTTTTCGGGCGCACGGGTCAAACGATTTGGATGGTTAAAAAAACATTCGATCCCAATTGATAGGGAAATGTGCTGATTAGTTTTTGGCAAAGGCAGGTATGGCCGTTATGGAGATACGGAGCAAAGAGAGCAGAAAATACAAATCGAGTTTTTGAGAGAACGGAGTATCGGATTTAAATGATCTAAAAAACATTCAATTTGTAATTATTGGGAGAAGAGGTGATTAGTTTTTGGCAAAGACAGGTCCCGCCATTTCGAAGATACAGAGCTAAATGTGCAAAAATAGCAGTTTTTGAGTGAACTAAGCGTCCGATTTGAATGATCTAATAAACTTTCTGCTTGTATTGACAAAACAATTGCTTTTGAGGATAAAAAATTATTATATCTTTTTTTATTTTTCATAAAATATTTTTGTAATTTTGGATTAAAAATTTAAAAAATTAACCAGGCTAAGCACAGTCTAAGCGCCACTCTGGTACAAATGTTTGCCCAAGTGCATTTTTCCAATTTTGTGAAAAACTATTGAAAAATGTGAAGATGCCGCCAAGCTAAGCACAGTATAAGTGAAAATGTCGCACAGAATTGTTTGCAAATTAGACTGTGACTATGCGGGAGCACTTTTTCAATTTTGTGTAAATTAGGCATCTATATATTTTTTTGAAATTGAATTCGAAATGAAATGACGATTGTTAATGTTCTGGAGATAAATTGATTTATGATTTACATTTGATTTAATCAGATATAACAAGATAGCAAAAATAATGAAAGTTAAAGTATTTGTAGTAATATATTTAAAAACGTTTAAAATTTCTCGAATATTTCATTACGGTACGGGAAGTTCCAGCAATTTTCTTTAAGACACGATGCCATACACCACTAGTTTCGATCTGTTGTAAGTCAAAAACTTTATTTTCAGATTACATGGCTGGCGATTATAGGTTTATTGATTGTCCGACCTGTAGAGGAAAACAAGGTCGATTAGAAGAAGACTCAGGTGACTATCCAAATTTATTTAAGTTACAATTATATAATACTATTGTAAGTCTAAAACTTTATTTTCAGATTATATGGCTGGCGATTATAGGTTTATTGATTGTCCTGTCTGTAAGGGCCTGTTAGAAGGAAACTCAGGTGACTATTCAAATTTATTTGGTCCGAACCACTTGGAAGCTAGTTTTAGTTTTAAGATCACAAATTGTTATTAGAATGAGTAGCAATTCATATTCTTCTCTAAACTTATTATTGACATTTGTTTTACTATATTTTTTTTATTTTTTAGTTCCAGGTGGTGATGTCGACAAAAGGCGTTTATGCTCTTTTTGTAAAAAATACCCGGGTACGTCAAACTTGTATTAATTTTTTTATAAACTTTGTAAAACAATTTAGATAAAATCTGATAAGCTAACTGAAAAAGAATGTACGGAATGAAGTTCTCAGCTTAATTAAAAAAATGCAGAAAAATGTCCCGAATACAAATATTTGCTCACGGCAAATCAAACTAATGGTATTTAAAAAAATGTATAAGAAGTTTATATAAAATCGTAGTGAATTGTATATACGATATATACGGTATATCGTATACTTTATGCCTAACTAAAAAAGAGTGCCCAAAACAAAGTTTAGAGTTAATTAAAGAAATGCAGAAAACATTTTTAGTCCACATGTTAAATATTTACTCGCTGGCCAGTAAAACGAAAATTATGTTTAAAATTTTCTTAAAAAAGTGTTTAAGAAGTTTATACGGAATCGAAGTAAATTTGAAATAGTTTTTGCTAAAGTAGCTTTTAAAAAATAAAAGAATTTTTATTACTATAAGATTGAATTCGATTTAATTTAAAATTGAAGCAGTTTCTAAAATTTTTGTTTACTTGTTTATAAATTTAATTTTCAACATCCTAGCCCAGTAAACCACAAAACGTAATTAAAACGTTACTGTTGCGTAACAGATGTTACGGCAAACATAGCGGTTACGTAACCTAGAAGGCACACAAACATTTTTATTTCCGTAACAAATACGTAACGATTTCGTCATTGTTATGTTTTTAAATCACAAAAAAACGTGCAGGTGTTTTTGATGTAACTTAAAAATTTAATAAAATGTCCTGTGAGTGTGGAAATTAATTTTTTAAAATAAATTTTGAATACAAAGTAAAATAAATAAAATATATTGACCAATTTTATAAAGTATGTTCTAAGATTAAAAAATACATTGTTTTTAAGGGTTAACACACATACATATTATAAACCTAACAATAGTAAGAAATTCCCCTTTGGCGTGATAGTAGCAATACATTATTAATTAAACTTATTCAATCCCTATTCCTTGTAATAAATTTACTATTAATATGTGCACTGATATAAATGTATAATGAATTATTTTTAGATATTTGTGCTAAAAAAGGTATGAGATGCAGACACGATATAATAAATCGACCTGATGAAATTTACTTATGACTATGAAGTTGAGGACTATTAACCAGGACAAGATAATTATAATCTATCTGAAGATAATAACTGAAAGGTCAAATATTAATATATTAATAATATATATTATTATTAATTTTATTTGTGCATGCAATAAATAATAATGGGAATTGTGGTGTGTTTATTTATAACAAACTTGTACCTACTCTAATTTTATGAGGAATTAAAATCATTATTTCCTGGTAAAATTTAAAAGACAAAAAGCAAAGTTTTCAAAGAAGTCAATTTTTTTAAAAACTCAAAATTCTCAGAAATCATATGTTCTAACTAAAGCTTTCAAAAATTTTAGATTACAGTACGAAAAGTTCCAGCAATTTGCCTTTGCCGATAAGTTAGATAAAAATTTTAATTTATCAAACAAGTATTTTCCCGCGTTAAATTCAAAATTATCAAAACAGCAACAGCGCCATTATAGTCAAGCGGCTTGCTATGAAAACCTGTTGACATTTAAAAGCTGTCATTCACAGTTAATTTAAAGAATAAAGACGTTGTTTGAAATTTAATTTATTTATTATTATTTAAACAATATAATAGTTGATTTGCTTATTGCTAGATATTTGTAAATATTTTAGATACTAAATTTGTGTGCTATAAGCTTTGTACATCATGTCACATTCATATTCTTTTGTTAGAAATGTTTTTTCATTGAAGGATCGTTTTTTTAATTTGGTGAATATTATATTTTATAAATTAATAAAAAGTCTCTCGATAATAATTGATGAAGTCTCTGTAATTATATTACTTTTTTAATATTAATTATCAATATTAATACTTTTTTTCCCGTTTGTGGAAAATCTACCCAACCTAACCTATATCTTAAGAGTTTTTGTTAATTTTGCAACAATTGAAAACATATCTTCAAATACCTTAATAATTTGAAATTTGATTATTTTACATTGTTTTTTATATTTATTACTGTTTAAATTTCAGTTATTATGATTCGACATATTTTTAACAATGGATGACATAGATTTTGATGTAGAAAGTATATCCCATTTATTAAATGGTGACTTTGTTCCTGAAGACAATAGTTCAAGCAATAATATTGGCAACAATTCGACTACTTCCAAAAATGACAGCTTAAGATCTGAAATCGGATTCAATTCTGCACTCGGAGGTACATGGATTTATCCGACAAACTATCCTCTAAGAGACTACCAGTATAAAATTACCTATGAAGCATTATTAAAAAATACAATGGTAAATAATAAAATCATTTGAATATGGGTCTGGTAATTTTTTATTTAAAATTTATGCTTGTTTTTAGGTCTGTTTACCGACTGGTCTTGGAAAGACTTTCATAGCAGCTGTAGTTATTTATAATTACTACCGATGGTTTCCTCAAGGCAAAATTGTATTTATGGCTCCTACAAAAACGTTGGTGAAACAGCAAATTGCTGCTTGCATGAATATTGCTGCAATACCCACAGATGATACTGCAGAAATTACCGGTATAATAATTATCAATCAATTATCAATTAATAATTTTTTATTAATTTCTTTATTACTAATAATTTTTTTTTCATCAGGTGCAACTCAAGCGAAGAAGAGAGAAAACGTATGGCAAACCAAAAGAGTATTCTTTATAACTCCACAAACTTTACATAATGATTTGAAAATGGGTATTTTTCCAGTAAATATGATCAGGTTAATCGTTGTTGATGAAGCTCATCACACTCGAGGAAAATATTCGTATGTAGAAGTGGTTCAGATGATAAGGGAGAAGCATGAGTTTTTTAGAATTTTGGCATTGAGTGCTACGCCAGGGAAAAATGTTGATGAAGTCATAGAGGTAAGGGATAAATTATTACATGAATTACAGATTTTTATTTCCTTAAAGAGCTCATATAACCCTTGCTTAATCATTTTATTTTTTATTAGAATTTATCAACTTTCAGATTATAAACTGTTTGCGAATAAACCATCTTGAAATAAAAAATGAAGAATCACCAGATGTTGTTCCATATATACATTCAAAAAATATTCATACTATAATAATTAAGTTAGGTATGTTTTAGATCACAATATATTTCAAGTTACTGATTATTAATACCTAATAAATAATATGTATTCTATTATCTTCTAAAATATGCTTCATTTACTTTCAGATCCTGTATTGATGTCTTTTCGAGATAAATATATGAATATTTTAGATACCTATGTTCGAAGATTACTTGAACTTGGTGTTGTAAGTGGCACATTAGGGACACTTCATAAAAACAGAATATTAATGCAGTACAAAGAGTATCAGGCGGAAGCGAACAAAGGAAAAAAGTGAGTGGAAGTAATACTTTATACATATTTCAAACTAGTTCAAGTCTCAGAATAATACTTTTGCATTTATGACATATATTTATATTTATTTACATTTTTTTTTTTCAGGCATCCGCAGCATTCACAAGTCGTTAGTGATTACACAATGTGCATATCGTTATACCACGGACTGGATCTACTACTTAATCATGGATACAGAATATTTTTGAATTTTTTCAAGGGTAAGTATTTTTTTATATATTAATATATTTATGTTCAGTAATAAATATGTATTGTTTTCATTCAGATACTAATAATAAAGGTTGGCTCAATCGTGAACACAGATTGATGCAGCTGAAACAAGAAATTATTAATTGTGTTGGAGATTTTAATTTAGATGTTAAGTGTCCTGACGGAGAAATAATAAAGGTGGGAATTAATTTACACAATATATATATATATATATATATATATATATGTATATGTATATATACTAGCTGACCCAGAAAACGTCGTTTGCAATAAAAAATATTTCTAGTTTAAAATGTTTAGTATAAAAATAACTAACTGATCGCAAATGTGGTAATAAGTAAAAGAGGCAGCCAAAAAACAATATATGAATAGTTTACCCACTGCAAAGCATGCCACATATAAATGTTTCAGAATCATATTCATAATCTTTTTAACAGCCAACCTAATCTGAAATTGATTTCGTTTATATTCAATTAATACATTTGAAGCTTCAAGATTTTGATATATTATTAATGCTTATTATTGTATTATTTACAATGTTATATACTATTCATTAATTTCATAATTACGAAGCAAAATTTGATCATTGAATTGACAAAAATTTAAAAAAAAATTGAGTGAATGAAAAATTATGCAGCTTTACTATTGATTTGTATGGTACCTAGTTTCTATCAAAATTGCTGTATCTTCAGATTTTAATATCCAATCTCTATTGTTTATTTGCAAAAATTGCTTTTTATGCAAACTATTTATAAAGGGGTGCACAACCCTTGATAAAAATTTAGGGTAAAATTAATGCTTTGTCATGAGGTCAGTAAAAAAAACACCCCCTGTCTACTATTGTGGTAAAAAATTATTCGATTACTAAAATGGCTATTATGAAAGCGATTTGTTTAAGTAGGGTGAAAATTTAGAGTTGTGTGCATTATGAAAATTAAAATTAAAACTTAAAAATTAAAAAAAAATGATAAGGGTGGACCACCCTTGATAAAAATAAATTGTTTTTTTAAGTGAAAAGAGTTACGTGTATTTTTCAATTATGTATTACAAATTACAAAAATTTAAATAAATCAATTTGATCCTAAAATTCAAATAAGTATATGGGTTGTACAACGCTTAATGAAAAAAATTGTCATTTAAATTAAGATTTTAGCTTTTTCTTAAAGCTCAAGAATCTGGACTAAAATTATGTCAGAAATATATAACGACTGAACGCGGAATAAAAAATGAATACATTACTTAAATGGCTATAAAAATAAGGGTTGGCGATAAAAAAGTATAAACCTAGTTGTATGTATTTTTTATGCAACATAATAAAAAAATGAAAAGAAAACATTTTGTCCAAAAATAAAAAAATATTAATTATGAACGACCCTTACCATGTTATTTTTATTTTATTAGTCGGATAAACCGATTGTGTATGGTCACCCAAAATTCAAGCACCTGGCCGATGTCGTCAAAAATCATTTCCAAGATGCCGATGACACAAGATGCATCATTTTCTGCGAATTTCGGGACACTGTTGTCTTAGTCAACAGATTATTATTGGACATTGGACCACCAATCAAGCCTAGAATGTTTACTGGATCTGGAACATTGTCCGGCGAAGGCGGTGATAAAAATTTTACTAAGAAACAACAGAATGCGGTAAGAATTTAATTTATAGAAAAATATGGTAAAAAAATTTCTTGCCTTACTATTATCTTTTTTATCAGGTGATGCAACATTTTCGTGCCGGCATCTGCAATGTCCTAGTCTCCACTTGTATTGCTGAAGAAGGTATCGACGTTGGTGAAGTCGATCTAATTATTTGCTTCGACACCAGCACTAAGAACCCAAGAAGATTGGTGCAAAGGATTGGCCGAACCGGCAGGAAAAAAACTGGCAAAGTTGTACTATTGGCCACAGAAGGACGAGAACAAGCGGTAAAAAAATTGAAAAAAAAAGGATAATTTTATTTTCAAATGTCGGTTTACATTTTTGTCCTTTTCTAGGTTGTGATGCAATGCATGGTGGAAAAGAATCACGTGTCAGGGCGCATTGAAAATAGTTTGACTATAAAGAATATGTTGAAATGCATGAATGCACCTAGAATGATACCTGATGATATTGAGTTGAAGTGTCAACAGATGCATTTAGATTATACGCCAACGCCTCCTGAAGACTCGAATAAAGAAAATAATACGAAGAAAAAAAAGGCGAAGGCTACGACTGGGAAAAAGGTAAGCGTTTTTAACTATTTAATTAATAAATTAATTTTTTTTACAATTTTGTCAAACATACTGGGTTTATTTGACTATCAATTATGTTGTTGACGAGAAACAAGTGCAATTGTTACTATAAGTTAAAAACGCAGGAAATAAAAAATTACGAATTTTTTTTTGTATAAATAATATAAGGATATGAAACATATGCGGAATAATTTCATTTATCTTTATTCAATTCGCGAGATCTTTCGTAAAAATTTCATCAACTGATGAAAGTTAAAACTAATTTTCGAAACATGGAAGTTTTGTTTTATAAGAAAGTATACAAATTATCTTATTGAACTAATTTTATATAAAACAGCAAAGCCTCAAAATACTAGTGGTGCACGGCATCGTGCCTTAAGGCAAATTGCTGGAAATTTCTGTACCATAAAACGATTGAAAAATTTTTGTAAATCAGATTTTTGAGAATCATGTTTATTTAATTTTGAACTTTTTTCCAAACAATTGCGCTACGTAGCTAATTTAGAGATGAAATATCGATGCGCGTAAGCTTCGCGTTCCAGTTGTATGGATAAACATAGGTACGGAACCCATAGAAATGTAAACAAAATTTATACCTATTATTAAAATCTCTATAAAATATCTAATAATTTGATGTGCATATGCCTAATGATCATTTCTGAACTAAATACCAATTTTTGAAACTATTTCTTCCGTATCTCCGAAACGGCTGGATCTGCGATTAATATGAATCGAATTAATCAAATCGGTTGATTCGTGTTACTGAATACACAGACACATTTATTTTTTCTACAGTATGCCAAAATGTTCAGAAACTTCTGAAACGTAAGGATATGCAAAAATTTTAGAGATTTTTAGATAAATTTTTTACCTCATCTTCCTGATATTGATCCAAAAATAGTTGTCTATTTTCCACAAAGTATCACCAAGAAGCATTTCTTCCAGCATCAGGCTCAGTCAAGTTCTTCAAAATGATCAAAAATCTTTTTGTTGGACGTCATCGCTCGTCATAAATTCCAAAAAAATGTCCATCATTTTAGAATGATTTACTTTATCCATCGAGGATTCGTGATTTTTCATCGTAATTTTCGGTATTTTCGATTTTTGGATTATTACTGTAACTTACCCTAGCGGAAGTTAAAAAAAATCAGAAAAGATTTAATTAAGCCCTAAATTTTATATTAAATTCTTCTTTTAACACCTCAATTTTATGAAAGGGCTCCTAGTTTTAACGTTCTCTATTTTATAAAGAACTCCTAAATTTTATAAAAAAATCTTTGCTGAATTTTACAAAAAAAAACTCTTTTCCCAGAACGCCGATTTGCGTGATCTTTTTTCCAAACAAAAAGAAAACAACTTAAAGAAAACCATGTCGAGAGATTCAATTCCTGATGATAATGACACCAGTAATTTAGGCCCTAAAATATCCAAAGTCGACGTAACAAATTTATCCAGCGACGATGAATTTTCAGTATATGAAAATATTGTAGAACAAGTTAAAGACAAAGCAAAAGTAAAAAGCAGTTCACAGGAATCAAAATCAGGAAAATCCAAAACCAAGAATAAACCCAAAGCTGCGGGCGGTGGTATTTTACGGTTCCTGCAAGTATCACCGAAGAAAAATACAAGTTTTACAAATTCCCTAAACGATGACAGCACTTCTGAAAATAAAAGTTTAAACAAAGGTTTTAGAGATTCGGATTTATCTGTTGCAGATAAAAACCAGTCATTTTCCTTCCGTGCCAATGAATTGTCAGCCGGTCTGGTCAATTTCATGTCTAAAGTCAATTTGAACGAAATCAAAGCTTTGATGAACGATAGTTGCAATTTTTGTACAACTTTTACGAAATGTTCTTGTGAACATTTGAAAGAAACTGCTGTTGCTGCTGAAGATATTAGTTTTTTGGATGAACCTTTTGAAGAACCTGATTTGAGCTGTTTGAAAGCAGCGTGTGATGCTAAAATTGAAGAATTTAAGAAGTCTCAGGATGAAGAAGAAACTGATTGCAATATTGCTGATCAATTAGAATGTTTGGAAACTTTTAAAGAACCTGATTTGAGTTTCGTAAAAGAAACATGTGATGCTAAAATTGAACAAAATAAAAAGTCTGGGAATGAAGGAAAAAGTGATTCAAAAAATGTTGGTGAAGTGGAAACTAGTTTGTTAGAGGCTAATGTGGATATCATTGATAGTAGCATTTTAGACAACGATTTTGAAGCGTTCAATGTGCCGAATAACAAGAAACCTGCTAAAAAAAAGTCTGCCAACACCTATCAAAATCAAAGTTGTGTTGATATTTTACCAAAGCACGAAATAGATGATGTTTTAAAGTATTTTAATTTAGACAGCGAGTTGGACTTATTTGGTGAAACAAAGTCGTCTAAAAAAACTGCAAAAACAATCAGCACTCTGATTGCTTCACCAAAACCTAAAGTGCCCAAAAAATCCTTGGACGAACTCAAAAACAAAAGTTTTCTTACCATCACCCAGATGTTAGACGTCATCAACGCTTCCGATTTATCTGATCAAAAATCACTACAAAATAGTTCTTTATCTGATCAAAAACCATTACAAAATAGTACTATATCTGATCAAAAACCATTACAAAATAGTACTTTATCGGATCGAAAATCATTACAAAATATTACTTCCTCTGAAAACAACGACAGCACGTTTTGCGAAGAAGCCGAAACCGATTCTCCTGCAAATAAAACAATGAAACCAAAATTGAATTTAAGTCGTCTAAATAGTTTAAAGATTTTAAAACATCAACCGAGTACATCCAGTCATTTGAATCGTTCAAAAAGTGAATCGACAAGTTTAAATACATCAACGTTCTTCAATTCCGTCGATGATGATTTTGATGACCTTTTGGATGAAAGGTTTAAGAATGAGTTGTTTAGTTTAATTGATGACAAGGGTGACTCCTTGCAAGCAAAACCAAATACTACTAGTGATCCCAAAACAAATGTAGTGAGTCCTAAAAAAGATGTGAAAGATTCTTCCTTGATTAGTTATGCGGATTTTCAGTACGACTCCGACATCGATGATGTATTTGAAGAAAAGACTGAAAGCTTACCAAAAACATCCAAATTAGACCTCTCCAATTTTAAGTATAGCGCCAAAACTAGTGCAAAACCTAATAGCAGAATTGATAGTAGATTTGAGAAAAATGTTGATTTATCAGATGTACCTGATTTGGATTTGTCAGAGTTCCAATTCAGTTGCAAAACCTCAAGAGATTCCAAGTCATCTCCAAGTATTTTGCAGAAAGACCAGGTAATTAGGATGTAGATCAATAGCTTTCAGAGAGTTTTTTTTTAAGTTTTCATTCCATTTTTGTTTTATAGACGTCGATGGGCAAATCAAGGAAGAGAAAAGTGAGATCCAAAGCCTTATCATTTTTGGATTTGGAAGCAGCAGTATCAGGCAGTGACGAAGATAATCTTGATGAAGCTACTGAAGAAGATATGACGTTTGTTGACAATAATTTTGAAAATGAGCACGAGGAACAAGTTGATATGACCAAGCAGTATTTACAAAGCATCAGGTAATAATTAGATACCAACGACTAATAGATTTTAATCATTGTTATTATATTATATATATTGTTTTTTTTTTTCTGTAGGAGTCCTTTAAAAGTAGGAGGTTTCAAAATACCACAAATAGCTCCTGTGAAACATAAAGAATGGGATTTTACTCAAGTTGCTATTGCCGCTGATCAAACTAATTATGAAGTGAGTAAATTTTAAGTAATTATTAAAATGCAGAATGTAAGAAAATTAAATGTAAGAAAGATAAGATGCAAAACTCATACTATAAATAGTATAACAAACTAGTGGTGTATGGCATCGTGCCTTAGGGCAAATTGCTGGAACGTCCAGTACCGTAAGGAAATGTTGGAAGAATATTAAACGTTTTCAAATAGATTATTATAAATACTGTAACATTTTCTAATATATAAACTGAATTGCAAAGTTTATTTGAAGTATATAAGTATGCTTTAGAACTTTACCTAAAATTAAAAATTGAATCTGAAGTATTTTTGATATACAAAAAAAAATTTTAAACAAAATAAACTTTTATTTTGAAATTATTATACTGAAGTAATGTACAAATATTTATTTTTTTCTATAAAATTAACCATTTGTTTGCTCAAATTATTTTTGACATACAATTTTAACTTTTGAATATTTTTCAAAATATTTTTAAATAATATTTTTCAAGTGTGTCAACTATTTTAATAAATTAATTTATATATTGTCTTTAATATGTGTCAATTATTTTATTACCGTAATTCAAAATGTAATAAAATAATGTTATGCAAAACCCATAGCAAAATTGGACTTCAAAACTGAAAATGATAAATTTAATGAGATACAAAACGGGATTTAATTGTTTGTTAATCTATTAAATTTTCATTCATTTTTTTTTAAATTTCGCTTTAAACTATTTTTTTCCAAAGTTCTGTAATCAACTTATATATAAAAGTGAAGCTTGATAACATGTTAAGTATGCTAGAACTCTAAAACGGCTAAATGGATTTGGCCAGTTTTAGTCTTGAAATATTTGTGCTAATCCAGAGATTGTGCAAAATGTGAGAAATTATTTCAAAACCGCGTAAAAACTTCATATTTTCAATTTAAAATTTTGTGTAGAAGTGTAATTTAAGATGAAACAATCAACTGTGGCTCATAGTCAATTGTCAAATTGTTTTTACAGATTATGTTCAATTAAAAAAACTACATTTTTTTTGTACATTTATCTCAGTATCTTCGAAATGGCTGGACCTGCCTTTGCCAAAAACTAAACACAACTTCTCCCAGTCAGTACAAATTGAATGTATTTTGAATCATTCAAATCCGATAGTCCGTTTTCTCAAAAACGCGATTTCTATTTTCTGCACTTTTTGCTCCGTGTCTCCGTAGCGGCTAGACCTGCCTTTTCCAAAAACTAATCAGCACATCTCCCTATCAATAGGAATCGAATGTTTTTTAAGCCATTGAAATCGGTTGATCTGTGCACCCGAAAAACGTTGACGAATAAATCGCGGACACACAAAACACACACATCTATTTTTTCTGAGGTATGCCAAAATGTTCAGAAACCCCTGAAACGTGAAAATTAGCAAAAAAATTTATTTTCGATTTTTGGAACATTATTATAACTACGGGAAGTTAAACATGAAACATTTACTATCTAAATTAAATACATAGCTTTTCAGTAACTTTCATTTATTCGGTATGATTTGAATCAGAAGTGAGATCTCTCATATGATTCGATTATAATATTATAACAAAACCAGTAAATAGTAAATGAGTTATTCTTGATAGTATTTGAATTTGTTTTATCCGATTTCAGGATTCTTTCGTACTTTCGCAAGATGACAAAATTGAATACGACCACGATTTGTCAGAACTCGAAATTCTTGAACGCAAACTCCGAAAAAACAGTAAAAAAAGACAAAAATCTTCTAACACTGCATCAAATCGAAAAAATTCCAGCAGTGATGAAGAAACAATTATCATCACTCGAAAACGAAAACAATCCTCAATTAAAAATGAAACCACAAAACCTTCTTCTGATTTAACGCAAATTTTGGATGAAGATGATGTATTTGAAACAAAATCTAGTGGTGAGAAAAAACAGTTCAAAACACCAGAAAAATCGGGTAGAGTTAGAAAAATATTTACGTCACCCGATTTAGATGATTTGGATATAATAGAAAATTCTCAAAGCCCGAAGAAAAAAAATTATGTTAATAATTATGAAACTAAAACGAGCAGTGATGAAGGAAATCAGTCCATTACAGGACGAAGAAAAGCTAATTTTAATAAAAAGACTGTAAAGAAACTTTGTATATTATCGGACACAGAAAGTGATTTAGAGTGATAGATAATAGTATAAATTAATAGAATGTTGTTGTACCTAAGTTATGAACAGATGTTTTAATTGTTTTGTATTTTTATAGTATTTATTTTTATATGAAATATATTATTCAGTTTTAATAGATCTATATTTATCATCTGCCCACAAAACGAGTATTTAATATAGGAATTGGTGTTTCCATTTTTCATAGGCCTATAATATTTTAGGACTAGGGTTTATACAAAAACCGGCATTTCAGAAAACCGGTTTTCGAATTTTAATTTAACTAAAAAACCGGTTTCAATCGGTTTTCGAATTTTATATAGGAAATAAATTTTTGCTCGAACATTATGTAATTTATCCGCAAATTTAGTGAAATTTATAGTAGTATTTGACAGAATTTATTTATTGTTCAATTTTATAAATAGTAGACAAAATTGTTTTAATTTTAATTTAATAATAGTTTATCTTGATCAAATACATTTGAAAATAATTATTCGTTATTCATACATCTTTTTCACATTTAAAAATGAAAATATTTTTATGGTAGTGAAAGGAAAGTTTTCGAATAAATAAAAATAATACATTTCAAAATAAAAAAAAATCATTAAATTAAAAAAAAAAAATAAAAAAAATTTGATTCATTTTGATACATACTTTTTAATATCAATTTCAGGTTTAAAAACAATTAAGCTAAACTCGGGTATTGTCTTTTCCGAATAATTTTAATAAATTCATTTCAAACATTCTAATTGTATTTCTTGTTTAATAAAATACGATTTCAAAAAACTGAGAACGTCTATCGAATTTCTACATAGACGTGTCCTTTGTTTACTCACAAAATTTCCTGAAATAGAAAATACTCTCATACTTGCGACCAAATTATGCTTAATTGTTTTTAAAGACTGATATAATAATTGCAAGTTTTTGTTCTTTAATTTGTAGCTTCTAGGGTTTAAAACTCTTTTGTTTTAAGTTTGAATTAGGAGGAAGTTACTTTTTCAAGAAGAAGTCAGACTGATTTAAATTAATATATACACTGGTATAAAAATCTAAATTAATATATACAATTTCTGGGAATCATTGTAGACTGATAAGATATCAAATGCTATTGAACCGATATGATTTCAAGAATCAAAACGCTTTCATCTATCTTTTATATTTGGCTATATTTGTCATTTTCCATTTATACAGTGCAAACCGACATTTTTCACTGAAAAACCGGTTTTCGAATTCCATAATTTTCGCCAAAAGAAACGGTTTTTAAAATCGGTTTTTGAAAACCGACAAACCCTATTTAGGACGTTTATGCAAACTGACGATTATTTACTAAGATGTCTAAATAAATATTTCTTAAACTTCCCAAATTACAAAATACACTTGTGTTTATATATACAAGTGTGTGTATGCTGGGGTACATTTTTTTTGCTCATAAATTGTATTTGTAAAAAACTGATAAGGGGTCGTCCATTAATCACGTGATCGATTTTTCAAGTATTTTTTGGACTTTTCTGCCCTTTATTGATACGTGGTGATATTCAAAATTACTTCCCTCCCCCGCCAAAAATCACAAAAATGGCAATTAGTTAGAAGAAAAAATTGAAAAATTTTTGGATTTTGTTTGAAAATATTTGGATTTTTTCTTTAAATTCTGGTAAAAAATAAATACACGTGATATTTTACTATTCTTCTTCCTTCCATATGTGATATTTCGTAGATTTTTTTTGTCAACCCTCTTTTTCCCTTAAAAACATCAGCTGATTGGACATCTCCTAAGTTCTTTTCTTTTTTTTTAATTACGATATTTATTACAACTGTTAAATAACTTAACATCAATAACTTAAATAATAATAATAAACAATAACATAAATTTAAATAAACGACCCCTAAGTAGATGCTTATTTGATCAAAGGTGTTATTAAACTTACCAAAAGGTATCCACCGATGATGATGAAAATTGCGACAAACTTATCAAAAATGTAAGTATAAGTTTCTCAACATCAACTATTTTTTTGTTCGAAGATTATAGTGATATTTGTTAATTTTAGGGTAGCCTACAAATTTTGTGCAAATAGAAAAAAATGATGGATAGAACAACAATCAGAAATCATTTGCAAGAATTGTCTGTGAATCAAGTTTAATTCTTCAATCTTCAGGTATGTAATAACAATTTAATTCATTTTATTACAAAATTTTGATTTATATCGTGATGTTAGTAGTACTCCTTCACTTCCCGTCATCTTGCTCGTAGTAACATATAAAACTCGAACTTTTCGACGATGTGTCCTTGCTTACTTTGGTCGTATTTTTATTCCTGTACATTCCTTCACTTTCCTCATAAGTTGGAGCTATCAAAAAAAATTGAAAGGTTTCATAATCTGTTAAATATTTTTAAGGGGGTATTCTAGTGTAGAGCGATGAATTTTAGGTCATTTTTAAAATGTCGTAAAAGAAAGCAATGAATGTTTTTACTATTCATTTTTTTTTACCACTTGTTTATTAATATTATTAAAATACAATACAAAAATTAAAAAAAAAAAGTTGGTAATTGAAGAAACTGGCAGCTGATGAAGTGGGGGGTCTCAAAAAATTGGCACCTCAGTCATGACATGATTTCAGCCCTCTTAGCCATCCGAAATAAAAGAAATAAAAAAAATATTAATCTACAATGATGTCGCAATCGCCCGAACTAGCGATGAGTAAAAAATTTTTTTTTACAAACTGGCGACTGTTTGAATAAAAAAGTGTTTTTACTGTTTTTTGAGTTTTTCGAATTTTTTAAAAATAGAAAAAATTGGAATTTTGGGATAATCCTGGGTCGGGCTATAGATAGGTCTATAAACAAGACTCTCTGAACATTTCAAGTGAATCGGTCGAGTAGAATTCGAGAAATCGTGTCAACAGTACTGAAAAAGTCTGTTTTGAGAAAAACGAAATTAAAGTTTTTTGCTGTCAAAGTCATGAAATGATATGTTATACTTATTTTATTTAATCTGTCCTTCCTGCTTTATGCATCGGATCTTCTTCCACTTCAAAAAAAACTATTTTTTGCATTTATCTCTTCAATTCGAGCAGTTCTAGCCTCTTTTGAAGCATTGTCTCGTCTTATAGCAAATGAATGGGTTTCTATCCCAATTTGCATTACCATAAGGGCCATCATTTTTAAAATCGGAAAAAACCTTCATTGAATATGCAAACAGCAATAAATGTTTGGGAATGAATATGTTTCGGCGCGAATATCCAAATCAGCGAGTTTAGAGATTCATTATTGTTCTGAGTTTCTGAACCTATACATCGAATTAATAATTCATCTGATGATAAACTGTCTTAAATTGGTCTAATGACTTCCCAATGCCTTTTGTCCGATTAGACTCTTGGAGACCGAGTCAGTAAAATGCCTATATCTCCGAAAATAATTCAAATTTTCAAAAACCTTTTTGTACCCATATTCTTAGATAATTAAACTTTGAAGATATGAAAAAAAAAAAATCGATTTTTTTTAATTTCTACACTAGTCAACCCTCTTAAGTCCATCACCGCCAGTTTAAATTTATTTCGTACTATATATATCAACGTACTAAACTTACGTGGTTCCATTTCTGGTGGAGCTGCAGGCATTTCCAGTCTATTAACATCATAAATCCCATCTATTGGTTTGGTTCCAAGTGTTATTGGAAGTGTCAATTTTAAATTTCTGTGAATTGCTGACACTCTGGCTTCCACCTAAAAATCAGGGGAAAAAATTGAATTTCTAAGCTTGATATTACCAAGTTGTTCAGACTTACTTTTACCAAATACTTGATATCAATAATGGAACATGTATCTAATTGCGGAGGATGATCATGTGGCACAATTATATTATGCACCAACTGGGTTCTTTTATAAGCACCAATTCCTGATCCGGTACTTTCTGCTACCACAATCTTTTCTTCCAGACATCTTGTTACAGGAGTGTTTGAATGGTATGTTATTACCTGTTACAAAATATAAATTAGTATGGGAAGTTTATATCTAATTAAATTCCCGTAGAGTAGTTATAGTAATGGGCCGAAAATCGAAAATGAAAATTTTTGCATTTCTCGACGTTTTGCAGGTTTCTGAACATTTTACTGGCATACCTCAGAAAACTAACGGATGTGTGTGTGTGTGCGTGTGTGTTTTGTATGTCCGCATTTTTCGTCCACGTTTTCGGGCGCACGGATCAACCGATTTAAATGGTTTAACTAGCTGTAAGTGGAATTCTGTCTTAAGGCAATTAGGGCATCGTGCCTTAAGGCAAATTGCTGGAACTTCCCGTACCGTAACGAAATATTCGAGGATGCTGAATGTTTTCAAATAGATTATTATAAATATTGTAACATTGTCTAATGTTTATAAGAATTATATAAACTGAATTGCAAAGTTGAAATTATTTGTAAAGTATATTATAACTATAGTCAGAATTAAAAATAAAATCTGAATTATTTTCGATATTCAAAAAAAAAAAAAAAGTTGGAACAAATTTTTTTTTCCAAAATCAATTATTTTGTTAAGACAAGCAGAAAGTTCTTTGAATCATTTAAATCGGACGCTTAGTTCTCTCAAAAACTGCCATTTTTTACATATTTAGCTCCGTATCTTCGAAATGGCTGGGCCTGCCTTTGCCAAAAACTAATAATCACTTCTGCCAATCATTACTAATTGAATGTTTTTTAGATCTTTCAAATCGGATACTCCGTTCTCTCAAAAAGTCGATTTCTATTTTCTGCACTCTTTGCTCCGTATCTCCGAAACGGCTGGACCTGCCTTTGCCAAATACTAATCAGGACATCTCCTTATCAATAGGAATCGAATGTTTTTTGAACCATTCAAATCGGTTGATCCGTGCGCCCGAAAACGTGGACGAAAAATTGTATCCATACATACATACACACACACATCCAATTTTTCTGAGATATGCCAAAATGTTCAGAAACCTTCAAAACGTCGAGAAATGTAAAAATTTTCGATTTCGATTTTCGGCCCATTACTATAACTACCTTACGGGAAGCTAATAAAAAAATCACCCAGGCCAATAAACACAGTCTAAGCGCCACTCTGGTACAAATGCTTACCAAAGTGCGTTTAGACTGTTTATGTACTGGAACACTTTTGCAATTTTCATTGGAAACTATTAAAAAATGTGAAAATGCCGTCAAGCTAAGCACAGTATAAGTGAAAATGTCGCACAGAATTATTTGCAAAGACTGTGACTATACGGGAGCACTTTTTCAATTTTGTGTAAATTAGGCAACTATTTTTTTTGAATTGAATTCTAAATGAAATGACGATTGTTAATGTTCTCGACATAAATTGATTTATGATTTATGATTTACATTTGATTTGCTCAGATATAACAAGATAGCAAAAATAATGAAAGTTACAGTATTTGTAATATATTTGAAAACGTTTAAAATTTCTCGAATATTTCATTACGGTACGGGAAGTTCCAGCAATTTTCCTTGAGGCACGATGCCATACACCACTAGTTTTGGTCTACCTTTTGTAAGTAATAACGCATTCCGATGACATCTACTCCGCTATTGTTGACGATGTGAGTTCTGATCTCTACATGTTCACCAGGAACAAAACCATTTCTCGTGATTTCTGTAGATATTGATAACGGATGACCAGTAAAGCCGCCCCAGAATTTCTTGAAAGCCTCTGATTTAACAGGCACCTGGACAAAAATTGTAATTAGATAGTGATGATGGATGGAACTAGGGAATGCAATACCGATGGAAAATTTCAATACCGGTATTTCGGTAATTTTTCATTTTAAAACCGGAATACCGGAAAATTGCCGGTGTTTTTATTATCTTAAACAAACGTAAACAAAATTGAAAGTCACTAGTACAAATATAAAAAATGTATATACAACTACAACTATATTCAACTAAACAATAAAATAAAACATTAAGTTTATTTTTTTAAATAATAATTTAACAAAAGTATATGCAGTTTAATTAATTCATTATCACTATCGAGTATATTGAGTACTTTTCACCAAAAACAAACTTTATGAGTAAGAAAGACTAAAAACTCATAAAAGATCATATTACATTATTATAATAAACTGTATGGTCTGTATCCGATGTGTTAAATTAGCATAATCTCCGATATTTAAAAAAAATATTTTTCTATACTAATTTAAAATTGGATTCTTTATCGAGATAAATAATAAGTTACTATAATTGTTGAGTATTGTTATTTAAAACAATGTGATGCTTCTATAGTATTTTCAAACTTCGAAACGTTTTCGAAAAATAATATTTTATAATTGTAATAAGAAGCAAAAATATTTAGTAGTTATCATAATTATTATGTATAAAGTTAGAAAAAAATTAAAATTACGCAGGGGTAATCTGTATGATATAAAATATTTTGGCGTAAATATCACTTAAAAAATCGTTACATTTTTACAAAAGATGAATCAAACATCATAATCTATCAGTCTATTTATTGTAGCACGATATGAAGCCCTTTGGAAAGCAGTAAATATTCAGTTTAATGACGAGTTGAGATAATATTTGACATTTGTTTATCGTATAGAATCACTTGAAGATATAGCTGTTTATGCGATTGTGGAATTTAAAGATAAATTTGTTCCGAGAAATTTAAACTTTAGTGTATTATGTATCAAATAGCGTTTATGTAAAAATACCGAAAATACCGGTATTTTTGAAATAAACACCGGTAAAAATACCGCCGAAAAATCGGGCGGTTTACCGGTAATTCGGTATACCGGTATACCGGTATTGCATTCCCTAGTTGGAACTATATTTTCTCTTACCTTATACGTTGGATCTTTGTTAAGATCATGTGCAGACTGTATCCTGAAAATAGTTTTGTATTTCGAATCGACTCCCAAGTGACGCCTAAAAGTGACGACAGCTGTGTAACGAATATTCCCGTGACTTCCTTCAAAACTGCAAGGAAGAGTGATGGGCAAGGCGCAACTGAAGGAATAAGTGTGTTTGCCAGATTTCAGGCAGGTTGCTCGTCCTGGGGAAAAGGATTTATGATATATATTTTTAATACATCCATTTTTTGTTAACTTCCCAAAGGAGAAGTTAATGTCTTCATGAAAAAATCCGATTCGCTCATTTTATGTTTTCTTAAGGAATAAGTGTGCTTGCCAGATTTCAGGCAGGTTGATTGTCCTGGGGAAAATGATTTATGATATATTTTTAATACATCCATTTTTAATTAACTTCCCGAAGGAGAAGTTTATGTTTTCATCAAAAAATCCGATTCGCTAATTTTATGTTTTGTCGACGTTTCAAGCCATTCTGAATCCAATGAGACCAAATTTGGAAAAAGTATGTTTGTGTGTGTATGTGAACAGATTTTTGCCGTAAATCGACGTTTTCTCAAAAACGCCTGAAGCGATTTCAGAAATTTAAAAGCCATTTGATGTATCTCAATGAAGACTATTATTTGTCAGTTTCGTGCAATTTGAAAAAAAAGTGTTAATTTTTTATTCCATATTTCAGCTCATGCAACCGAATCGATTTTCAAAAATCAGAAACTGTTCGAACAATATTTGTTGGGAATGATACTCATTAGTTTTATGTGAAAATCTACCGAGCCGTTTTCTTGTAATTAGCTGTTGAAAAAACAATTTAAGCCGATTTTCATGGAACTTTTTTTGGCGATATATATCATGATCTTATAGAACTTACTGAAATATTACGGCAAGTAATTTAATTTTAAAAATTCATCAAAGCTTGAAAAAATGAGTAGTTCTTTTGACGTTTGTTAAAACTAAAATTAGACGATTAACTTGGTATAACGATAGAGAACTTGGTCTTAATGAACACACTAAACTATTAAAATCCTACGGAAACTGGTCCCATCTAATATCTTTCGATCAGTTTTTTATTTTTTAAAATCGATTCGGTAGTATGAGCTTAAATGTAGACGAAAAGTTTAATACTTTTTTTCAAATTATAAAGAAACGGATTGGCAGATCATCGCACAAACTGACAAACGATAGCCCTCATTGAGATACATCAAATGGTTTTTAAATGTCTGAAATCGGTTCAGGCGATTTTGATCAAACGTCGATGAAAGGTCTAATTTTGACAAATGCCAAAAAAACGTTACTAATTTTTGCAAACTTTGAAGAAATTTTAAAACTAAACGACTTGTCGTAGGGTCGTAATATTTTAGTATGATCTATAAGAATATGGTATTTACCGACAAAAAAAATCATAGAAATCTCCGAAAAACATTTTTTTAACACTTTCTCTTTCGGAAAGTTAAAAAATAATCAGTGCAATTTCCAAACGATATCTTTTAAATTTTCTCAGTTTTCAAAATTGGTTCAGGATTTTTGTCGAAAACTTGGGGAACAATTGTTGCATTTTTCTTCTCTATCTTGCAAATCTGGTCTAGGTTCCTCCTTATTGAGTTTAATCGAATGCTTTCTAAATTTTTCTGAATTCAAATTTTGACTCATCACTTCACGAACAGATATTGTAAAAGACATCAAATGAAACTCGTATTTTTTTTTTATTCAACTTTTTTTTGAGAAAATGTAAAACCTTATTTTCCAAATGAATACCTAAATTCATTAAGTATATTTATCGGGAATTTCATGGATCTTGCTTTAAAACAAAATGCCACTTACAACTAGTTCTTAATATCTGACCGTTATTATTTTTGACGAGATCCGTGACAGTATCGCAATATATTTCTTCGGCGTGGTAGCGAATATTGTTGGTCTGAGGTCGACCTGATTTTAGCTTATCTGTGGCCAATTCTCTTCTCGTCCAGCCGCAGTGGGCTTGGCCCAAAATTCGTAGACTTACACCTGGGAAAAAAAATGAAAACAAATTGTGAAACATTAATTATTTTAATATAATAATGAATATAATAAACAAATCTAGTTGTCTTGCTAGCTAGCTATAGATGATACTTTGACTTGGGAAAAGTTTCGCAATTCCTTGAAATAATTAAGTTGTCCAATTGAGATTTGACACCTGGGTAAGATGAGAGTAAAAGTTTATCGAAGAATAGGCGAATATGCGAATAAGACTTGTTTTAACTATTTACTTGTCGTCAAAACAAATTATTTTGTTTATATTTATATTTTTTTGTATGGTTTTACTATATGAAACAAGTAAGCTAAGAGGAAGGTCTTAGGTCTATTAATCCATTTTCTAGATTTATAGTTTGTACAATTTTCATTCATTTCCATTGCAATTACTATATCAAGTTTATTTTTTTGCCATTTGTTTATAAAAAAGAAAGTATTTCAACAATTTTTATCACTTATTTCTTTACTTACCATCAACCTTTTTATCCTTCATCAAAGTCAATATAACTCTTCCAGTGAGAAACTGTCCGGCTTGGAAGATCCCTAAGGGATTATTGTCGAAGACTATTTCACATGACACAGAACTCATAATTGAACCTTAAATATTATAATATCTATTTTTAATTAATATATTATTCACAATAAAAATTCACGACCATCACTGCTTAAATGAAATCACTACTTAATTATTTGAAAATAAATTCTTTCTAAAATTATTATTAAAAACTTCATTATTATTAACATCCCTTAGAGTGAGTTATAATAATGGCAAAAAAACAATTTTTTTATCTAGAATAAATGGATGTACGTGTGTGTGTGCATATAAGTTTGGATACAATTTTTTGCCGGCGATTTCGAGAGCACGGGTCAACCGATTTGAATGATTCAAAAAGCATTTGTTTCCTATTGTCGAAGAGACGTGTTCTTTAGTTTTTAGCAAAGGCAGGCCTATTCGGTTTAGAGATACGGGAAAAACTTACAAAAAATGGCAATTCAGTTTTTGAGAGTACGGAGCATCCGATTTTAATAATTCATTCATTTTATTTGTATTGACGAAATGAAAAATTTATTAATTTTTTGAGAACGCAGGTCCAGTAGATACAAAAAAAAATATAAAAATGCCACTCTGGACATATAAAACAGTTCAAATTACGGTTCGGTAGGTTCCAGCAATTTGCCTTAGCACGATGCCATTCACCACTAGTTTATTATTGTATCTAATAGTTTGTTTCATTTAACCATTACTACTAAACTCACCTATTTTATTTAATTACGTTATTATTCACAATATAAAACATTAATTTCATTGTTGCATTATGAGAAATAGAGTAGCATTAATATTTGTAAGTGTTTTGCTTTATTACACTCAAAATCGATTTTATAGGTTTGTATTTTTTGACTTCGCTATTATAATATTATTTTAAATAACTTGAATTATTCAATTATATCATTTTTTAATTACTTATTTTTATAATATAAATCATATATTTTTTGATAAGTAATAAAAATAACATCGATATTTAAGTGTTTTATTCCATTCAAAATCGATCTCATAAGTTTGTTTTATGTGACACCACTTACTGTATTGTTTTTTTTATATATAACTTATTACTTCTATTATTTAATTACATTACACATTATTTAAAATATAAATCTCACTAATGTTTAAAATATCTTCACTGTAAAGAAATATTATTTTGATCCAATACTTGACTCGATTATCGATTTTCACAACACTATTAGTGTATATTTAAGTCACTTCTTTTAATTATTTATGTCATTATATTATTTTTAATATTAATTAAATTATATTCGATGTTTTTGTCACCGTATTGCGTATGAAAAGTAGAACACTTGAAGCGATAACACTTTTTATCTTTTTAGTAGATTATATAAATATCTGATAAAATCTTATCGTTCGGAAAAGGGCTTACTTTTAATACGTAAGAGAGAGTTTTTTTTGCAAAAACAATACTTTCTTTTTTGTCGGGTTATGAGAAAAACTTTTTTGCATTACTGTTTTTTTAATTGTAATATAAACTAGTGGTGCATGGCATCGTGCCTTAAGGCAAATTGCAGGAAATTCCTGTATCTTAATGAAATATTGGAGGAATTTGTAATGTTTTCAAGTAGATTAATATAAATAGTGTAACTTGCATTATTCGTATTTTATAGACTAAATATAAGAGTTTATGAATTAGGAGTTCACATAAGAAGTAAATAAGCAAGACTTAATCAAGCGGAGTTAGAATTAAAGGACCTTATCTCATATTTTTAAGAATTATGTAATGAATTGCAAGTTAAAATTATTTATTTTAAGTATATAAGTGAACTTTAAAATTTTAGGTAAAATTAAATTTAAAATCCGAATCATTGTCGACATTTTAGGAAAAAAATATTTTTTGGAAATTAAACATTTTTTAATGAAATTTTGTAAAAAAAATATTGTCTAAAAAAACTAACTATTTCTTCACACTGTCAAGAGAAGCTAAATGTTTCTTGAATCATTCTAATCAGTTGATCCGTTCTCTCAAAAACTGCTATTTTTGCACGTTTTTGCCCAGTATCTCCGAAACGGCTGGACCTACCTTTGCCAAAAACTAATCAGCACGTCTCCCCATCAATACGAATCGATAGCCTTTTTAATTATTCTAATCAAATGCTCTGTTCTCGAAAAAATCGATTTTCTGTACTTTTTGCTCGGTATCTCTAAAACTGCTGGACCTGTCTTTGCAAAAAACTAATCAGCACGTCTCCCCATCAATACCAATCGATTTTATGAATAACTCAAATCGGTTGATCTGTGCTTTCGAAAATGTGGACGAAAAATTGTATCCACACATACATACACACACATCCGTTTTTTTAGGTATGCCAAAATGTTCAGGAGGTTTTGAAACGTAAAGATATGCAAAAAATTCATTTTTGATTTCTAGACGATAACTATAACTTACCCTACTGGAAGTTAAAAATTAAACATTCAAAAATTTATAATTAAAAAATGCAACTAAATTAGTAAGATCTAAATTAGCAATTAGTAAGATATCAAGTGTATTTATTTTTTAATTAAATTTTTTTAAAAAAATCCAAAAATTTTCAAAAAAAATTAAAAAATTCTCCAATTTTTATTCATAATTAAAAATTCACATGATGTTTAAAGGGGGGTGGGGGGGTAAATTTGAATAACACCACGAATCACCAAGGGGGAGGGGGGTCCAAAAATTCTTAAAAAATCCATTACGTAATTAATGGACGCCCCCTAACCGGGTATGAAGTGTAATCCATAAATATCCTTCGCACTATTTTAAAATTTTACTTTACACACATATTTTATTTTAAAAAACATAACCATCCACTCCACATATAGTTTTATAATTCCTTTACCAAATTTTATATTTTTTACAATTTTCTAACCTAACTTTTCCCACTGTGTTTCATCGGCTGAACATTTCTTGAATGAAATGAATTTGCTCTTATCTATTCGCTGTTGATTCGAATTATGGCAACGATCCAATGAATTCGCCACAATTTGCAGTTTATGAAATTCCACATGAGTTGCCTGTTATTAAACTATCATTTGTTTATAACAATAATGTGGAAGGAGATTGTTTTCGCGGAATTAATTAAACTGGTGAACTTGTTTTGGTGATAAAAGTCAGATAATAGATAATTATAAGGTGATGTTTATGTTTAGAAAGTGCGAACTGCTGATATCGTTTTGAAAAAACATCATTGTTTTTGACAAATTATTTGGAATAGATCTATAAGGATTTATCATTTTGGTGAAGATGTGTTGGACAGTTTCTAATCAGACTTAAAAAAATACTAAAAAGTTGCAGATTGGTAAATAGACCAATATTACGCTTTTCATACAAAATAGTACTAAATACTGCCAAAAGGCCATGTAGTTGCTGTATCTTGAGTTGATAAGTTTCTGCAACTCGATTACTAGATATGATGAATTTGGTCTGACTTGCCATAAGGCATAAAGTCATCTTATATATAAGATTGTCAAATATCTCCCTTCCGCCTTTTTGTATTATAAACCAAGAGCAAAAAAGCGGAAGGGAGATATTTGACAATCTAATATAAAAATGGAGCTCTCGATAAAATGATCCCCTAAAACTCGAAAACGGCTAAACCGATTTGGCCAGTCTTAGTCTTGAAAAATTCGTGCTAATCAGTAGGTTGTCGGAAAGGTGAGATATTATTTCAAAATCGCGTAGAAATTGTACATTTTTAATTTGAAATTTTTTGTAGAAGCGTAATTTGAATAAAACAATGGACGGTGGCTTATACGTCAATTGTCAAACGTTTTTGACAGATGATGTTCAATTACGTTTAATAGGATGTTTTACGTGAATATTATTTAATTATGATTAAATTGTAGTAAGTAGTTTTCACAAAAACGTTATTAAACTGATTGCAAGTGTTACTAGAAACTCAAAATATCAACTTTTTGGAAATGTTAATATGAAAATGCATTTTTTGGCGTTGTAGCACTTTGTTTTTTTGCAAATCATATTTTTCTCAAATACGGTGCTCTGAAAGATCTCATTTGTATAATTATATACTCATTGGTATTCATAAAACATTTTCTAGGTTATATTATTTTTTATTTATGTTATTTCAATTCAGAACCTAAATTTGATATCGATCAAAGGGACATTTTGTCGAATAACATTTTCCCAGTTATAATTTCCCAGAATTTATCAAAAATAGATAGTAATATATGAAGTTCCGGCGTTAAAAAGGTTCACCGCCGATGTGTCAAAAACCAGTAAAGTTAAGCATTGTTTAACAAAGATATTTGCAAGTAGAGGGTAAAAGATGTATAACCAGCTATAACCTTGATTCTCATGACTTTGCTATCGGGAGATTAACAGTAATCTTTGAAGACCTATAATGAAAGTATTTTTTTCCGTTGGTAGTTTTTTTAGCATTAGTTAAAGGTGTAATTATTTTGTAAAATACCTTTAAAATTAAAATAAGACATTAAACCTGTTTGCCACCTAGCCGTTCCAAGTTACCATGTCTTTAGGGTATAAAGGACTAGATAAACAAAATTTGAAAGACATCAAAAAACACATTTCTACAATGATGAAGTAGCTGGCAGTTTTACTGAACGTAGTCAAATAATTGTTTCTATCAAATCTGTTATTTGATATGATTTAGTTGGTTTGGTTTTTATAATATAATTCATATTTGCTCAAAGTCAAAATGGACCTTTGTGCCTCGCCCTGCTCTACATATATACTTTTTATTAAATTAACTTTAATTCATCGAATGTTACTTGAAACTTTTCAAAAACCAGGTCAAAGAAAAAATACTTAATTCATTTTCTATCTCTCCTCGCAGAAATTTGAAATTTTTTTATAAGCTCAGTAGTATTATTTACAATTATACACAAAATTCAGAATCCAAAAAGAATTTCAAGAACTTGAAACGTAATCAATTAGTCGAAAGACCAAGAAAAATTTGGATTGGATTATAACATGTTTTCTATAGAAAGTGTATAAAACTTCCAGTTTGATTGTATTGACAAAATATAGATAAACTAATGGGGTTTATTTTTTTGATAATACCTCATTGTATATAGCATTCAAACAACGCATATTATTGATTCTCTAGAAATTGTTTCGAGTATACCTTACTTAGCAAAACAACGTTTGCCGGGTTAGCACGTTAGGCAAAAAAATTCTAAAACCGTCTAGTTTCCAAATCATTTTAATAAATAAAAAACACCAATTCTACACATTGATACACAAAACAACTGTTAAATATTTTTTGCTTCTTTACCCGGTTCTTGGTTTGTTCAAACTGGACAAACTCTTAGATATAAAAGACAATTCTGGGCTTTTCGGATTATTAAAATCAGCCTCGACTTTGTACAAACTTTTACTGCACGTTGGGCAAATCAACCTAATTGAACTTATAGACGTATCCGACTTGATCTTTAGGGCTTCTTCAGATTTCATCAATTTATCACAAGTAGAACAATACTGATAGATATTAGAATTACCTTTGGATTGATCTAAAACCACAGAACTTCTATTAGAGTTACTGGATTTGTTAGAAATTATCAGTAACATTTGTTCTTCGGCGTTTTCCATTCTCACCCTGCAAGAATTGCACTTAGAAGTCACTGTACACTTAGAGCAATGGGATTGTACTTTAGGCACCAGAAGTTTGTAGGGATGCCCTGAATATATTGTGTATTTTGTTGGATCAATCTGGCTTATAGATTGTGGAATCATAGCAGTATGCCTGGTACATGTTGTGGTAGAAGAACACTTTGAACAACTCCGAGAGGTTTGTGGGTGCTTGAAAATATTCGATCTCTCTTTGGACGTCTCCAGGTTCGACTTGGATCTTACATACTTCTGACTTATTAGGCAAGATGAACATATTGTGGTTGTTGTACATTTCGTACAACTTTGTCTGGGTTTACGTGGACTTGTAGATTTAGACAACAAGGCACCTGATGACAACTCTTGTGTCGATAATTTTCTCGAGTTTTGGATGCACGGTTTTAAAACACAAGATTGGCATCTCGCTTTGCTGGTGCAACGTATGCAAAACGGTTTTGATGTTAAAGGATCTTTATTAGATTTTTTATAACACGTGATACATTGTATGGTGCTTGTGCAATTTGGACAAGACGGTTTGGATATAACAGCAATTTTATCAGTGTCATCAGATGATTTGCGTGAGGAACCGATACTGGTGTGCGGTTTGTCTTCTTTTATACGTGCAGCTCTTTCGGTGCATGATGGACATTTGGTTAAAGTCGTGCATTTTGTGCAATTTGGTTTGGACGTTAATAATTTTTTATCAACGATATATCCTGAGACGCTGGTTATGTTGGCAAAATTATCGTAGTGACCAGGTTTACCTTTCAAGTTACTAGACAAAACAGCTTCGATAACTTCTCGACAGGAATCACCTTGTGAAGTGCTAGTGCACGTAGTGCACACATTTTTTGACGTAGATGATGCTTGATCGATTTTCTGATTCACCTTCGGTGAATTATCAGCATGGTTTGGTGTTAGTGATGGTTTTGCCAGTTCTTTGTTATAACATATACAAGAAGTTTTTTTGCAACATTTTGGACAACAAACTCGATAAGAGTATTTTTGTGCTGGTCTCATGGGACTGGTTGCTGCATTGATATGTTTGGTTTGGGTTGAATAATCTGAACCTATGATAATATTTTTGCACTTCAACTTTTTGCATGTACATCTCAAATTATCAGAACACCTAGAGCAACGACTTTCTGAGCTTGTGACAGATGGTTTGTAAGAAGTTTCTGAACCGTTGAAGAATAAGTTATTGGAATTCATTTGTTGATTCAATTTCCTCAAATCACTTGATAAACTTTCCAATTTCGTCAGCAAATTTCTCTTGCAAACGCATTTAGATTTATCCACACACTTGGAACAATTAGACAGGTCTGAATGTTGTTTTCGAATATTAGCAGAACTCTTGGACGAGTCATTTGTTGTTATGGATTCTGTTGGATCTAAAAACACATTCGTTTGTGTTCGTTTGCAGATACATTTTGTAGTCTCCAAGCATATTGTGCATTTTGATTTATTCGAAGGATGAGGCATACTGTTTTCTATAAAGTCCTTCAAGCTTTGAGATAATTTTGATATCGTTGATGACTTGTTGCTACAAATCTCCCGTGTTTGCACTAACATACCTTTTTTCAATATTGGACAACGTGATGGTGATTCAGAAGAAGATTTTGTATTTGAACAAGGAGAAAGTGATGTGCGAGTTGGCATGATATTAGAGATCAATCTGCTTGGTGTGGAAACAGTTGATAAATTCTCACTGACTACACTTCCTTGGTTTGATTTTAGATTTTTACATTGGATGCATGCTGATTTTCGGGAACATTTTGACGTATGTTCTAAAACTTTACTGTATATATCTTGGCAACTGTCAGATCCTTTTAAGCTTGTCGATTTATCACTCATTATTTTGGAATGAAAGGAATGTAGTTTTTTACAAAAAGAGCATTTTGATGATCCTGAACATTGCAAGCAGCCAGATGGTGTGAAAATATGGGAAGTATCTTCCATTATAAATTGTTTGGAGTTGTAAGAACTTAATTCGTCTTTAGGTGACTCCAAAGTATGTTTAAGTTGTTCTGATAACTTTTGTCGACATGAAGAGCATTGAGAAGTCTCAGAACATTTTGAACAATGTGATGTAGTCTGTTTAGAATGTTGGCTTGGCATTGGTACATGTGCATTTGAATCCAAATTTTGGGGTGGTTTATGTTCTTCAATTTGCTCCGACATTTTTTTCTGGCATGAAGAACATTTAGAAGTTTCAGAACATTTTGAACAATGTGATGTAGTCTGTTTAGATGTGGACGTATGTTGATTTGGCACTGGTGACTGTGCTTGAGAATCCATATTCAGAGGTGGTTT